GAGTCAAATATAAGGAACGGAAAACAAACTTAAGGACCTATAAGGTAAGAAAAAGATTAAGAATTTGGATTGAACTTTTAATATTCACCAATCAACATGAACTATTTATATAATCCAACATTGTTTGTATTGTGATCATTCATGGTCAAATGGTTTAAAAAACAAAGACAAAATAAGTTAATCTCATTTGTCACTTTCAATAATAATAAAAGAATTAGTCAAATGTAAAAATTAGTCGCTCATTTCATAGATACATCTAAAAAAATCAATAAATGAGTTAGAAAAGTTGTTTTGGGCTACGAAAAATGTTAGTGGGCTGTGAAATGGTCTCCATATGGCTTATACATCTACAAGGCTTATGTTTCTCATCTTTAGTCATTTCTAGACTCAAATTTCTACATTTCTAGGTGAAAATCCTTATAATAATAATAATAATAATAATAATAATAATAAAAACTCCATTTTGCACCGTTTAGTTTTTCTTTTGTGGAAATGTTATTTGAGGATTTTTACCAAAAAAAAAAGGTTCAAATATATATATATATATATATATATATATATATATATATATATATATATATATATATATATATATATTATATATATTATTTTTTGTAGTTTAGATTTGAGAAAATTAAGAATTTGATGATTAGATCTACGAAATTCTCTGAATTATTATTATTATATTATTATATATATATATTAAAGTTGTGGAAGAAAGGAATAGTAAAGTTGTGATACTTTGTCCTTGGTCCCTTCATTTACATATCCGGTCCTTGTACTTCTTTAATTAATTTATTCATGTCCTTTTGTTTGTGTTCCATTCAACTTCTCATTTTTTTGGCAGAATTGGTCCCTGTATATTGTTGGAAGTTAGGAATACTAAATTTGGATGTTTTTTTGGCAACTTTGGTCATTATTCTTTACCCATTTTCACACTTTTGGTCCTTGCAATCAATATTTTTACACTTTTTTGAAACCTTTTAATATTTAAAGTTTGGCTACAAAACTTTAACGGTTTGACAATTTTGATCCCTTTTCTAAAAAGTTGCTAATTCCTACCCCTTTAATTCTTTAGCCATTTTCACACTTCTGGTCCTTGCAGTCAAAACTTTTACATTTTTTGTCCGGGGCAAAGCCCGGACTTTTCTCCTTGCACTTTCTATGTCTGTCATATTTATCAATTCGGAAACAACATTGAAAGCTTCTGGCCCCCGCGTAGCGGGGGTAACCTTTCTAGTTATTATTATTATTATTATTATTATTTGTAATTTTTCATGTTAAAACTACAATATAAAATTTTTGTTGTTGAAATGATCATTGAAGATTTTTACAAAAAAAAGTTTTTTTTTTTTTTACCTTTTCATAGGTAAAAGTTCTATTTCCGCAGATGACATATATAAATTTTTCTTCTTACTAAAAACGATGTCGTTTGGTGATTTCTTAGCTCATTTATTGACGATCAGAAGAAACCATTTATCAAAATATCTGAAGAAATAACTGTGACACCATTTAACCTAAGGGCGGACGGAATGTACAGCCTTAGTTCGCTGGTGGTGGTATCGTCGGCTACACCGATCCTTGAAAAGAGGGTACGCCAAATTGGAAATATCACAGGTTATCCAACCCATTGCTCTCTCTCTCTCACACACACACACACACATTTGACATTTGACCATTTGTCCAACAACTATTTTAAAGAAAAAAATTACCAATTATATATATTGCCCTCAGCAACTTCCAAAACTACACCTTATTTTCGTTACATTCCACCTTTCTCTAATCTTATTACAATTCTTTCTAATTCCATTTTCAAACGGATTATAGTCGTTCAATCTCATCCCATCACCCAAGCCCAAAATGGGAATCAAGCAACAAATCAACAAAATATCAAAAATCCATAAAATAGTCTAAACAATAAGAAGTAGTGTTAGTAAAGGCTTATATTTGGCATTTTGGAAGATAATAAACGTGGAAATCAACAAAGAGATGATGTTTTTTAGGTGTGAGTTATGGAACATTATACTACAACTTGGGGGTTCGGATTACGCCTAATATTAAGTTTGAGCTCGGCTTGGGCTCATTTAAAATCGGTCTTGAGCCGAGCTTTCATCGAGCCGATCTCAAGTAACTTGCGCGTAGCTTGGCTCATTTGCATCCCTATGTGGAATGTAGATTATTAATTATAGAGATTAAATTACACGTTTCATCCTTGGTTTAGGTGTTAAGTTACGCGCTTCGTCCTCATTTTCAAAAAAAATTAACTCGAAACATCCCTTATTTCCAAAGTTGTTGCATGCTTGCTCACTACGACATATAAAATACTATATTTTCCTTTTCTATTTTTTTTAAATTTATTTATAATTTAGCTTATATTTTTTTATAATTTTAGATAATAAAATAGCTTATATCATTATCATCTTTCTCTTCTTTATCCTTTTTCAAACCTCTAGGAACCACCTTTTTTCTTTTAAACTTCATCTCAGTCACCGGAGTCGGTAACCACATCATAGAAGAGACACACATACATATACCTTATGTGTGTGCATGTGTGATACCGAGAGAGATGGCAAGATAGAATGAGAGTTGTCGATGTCGGAGCTGCAAAAGAGGGTTCCAAATATGCACTCTGGAGAGAGTGTAGCAAAGAAACACCTCCCATCCTCTCTTATCTCTACTCCGTTCGCCATCATCGCAACTTGTGTGCCACCATCGTTGCACCATATAGGGTTAAGATCTTTGTTCGACTATCGGCTCCATCCTTTATTCTCTCTTCTTTGTTTGTAGATCTACACTATGACAACAACCCTTTTACTCTCTCGTTTTTCCGGCAAGAGAGTTGCAGATCCGGAAATTAGGGGTGGCAACTATCGACCCAACCGGTAACCTGATACTGACCCAACCCGAAAATAAACGGGTTTGGGTTGAGATTTTTACCCGCCACCCGTTTATGTCATGGGTTGGGTTGGGTTACCTGTTTGGGTTCGCGGGTCAACCCGCCAACCAGTATATATATATATATATATATATATATATATATATATATATATATATATCTATATATATATATATATATATATATATATATTAATGAAATCTAGTTGCCTTCCATATTCGTACTAGGGATGGGTTGTTTGGAGAAAAAGGTAATATTTAATAATTTTCTTTTTTTGTATTAACTAAAATTTTGTATTAATTATTCTTTTTTTTCTTTCCTTATGCAGTTGATTTGAACGTGGCTATTGACAACCTAACTCAAAATTTAATGAATTTGAACATCAACGAAAACAATATGGAGGCTACAAATTCCATCATACTTTAAGTTGTCATTTGGTGAGTTTTTTTAGTAGAAATAGTGGAAAGCATAAAATTATTTATGTAGCTTTCAAAAGATCATAAATTTAATTTTGCATATTGTTTCTATTTCAAGGTCATCATGAAGAAGTCGGTGTTGGAGGAAGAAATGAGAATTCTAACATGAATGAATTATCAAATTGGTTTTTGTATATTTTTGAATAATTTCACTTTATTTGTATGAATGTTTTTATTTTTCAATTTTATTTGGATGTTAATGACTTTATGACTTTATGTTGAAAACCTTTTTTTTATGTTAATGACTTTATGTTGAAAAAGCATCATTTTTTAAAACATGTTGTTTATTTATTAAATGAGTTATGCGGGTTGGGTTTGACCCACTAACATGTGAACCCACGAACCCATATACTTAAACGGGTATATAGGTTGGGTTGGGTTGAGGTTTTCAACCCGCCAACCTGTAACCCGCTAACCCAAATGTTATACGATTTGAGTTAACTTTGAGTTTTTTGACCCGTCAACCCGAACTCAACCCAATTGTCATGCCTACCAGAAACAACAATGGTCAATTCAAGATATCGGGTTCTAGCATCGATATAAGGAAAGAGGATGGGTGTGGTAAATCTCTTTCTGAACGTTGTAATAAAAAAGAAGGTATATGGGTGGTCTGACAGTGGAGGTCTAGCGATGGTGGTTCGACATGGTGGTACGACTAGTGGCGAAGGCAACCGATTTTAGTGGGGTGCATGGACCCCACTTAGAGGAGAGTTCTACCCCATTTATTACCAAAAAACCTCCAATTTTTACTATTTTTACCAAACGCCCCCTCTAAGTGGGGTGCATGGACCCCACTTAGAGGAGGGTTGTAACACCCCGTTTATTTAGTAAATAAATAAATAAATTAATAAATGAAAATAGCCCTAAAAGCAGAATAGTGCAGCAAAGAGTTAGTTTTGGGGGTTAAAATGTAATTCGTACTTAATTTGAAGAGATGTTGGGAGCTAAGGGTTGAATGGTAAGTATTGGACTAAAGTTGAAAAGATTTTATGGGGTCAGGGGCTAAAGTGTAAGTCTTGGGATTGATTTGAAAGGAATTTCAGGGGGCAGGGTTGAATTGGTAAATTAAGGACTATGTTTGAAAATGAATCTGGTGAGGGGGACTAAACTTGTTAAAACAATTAAAAGTTTGAAGGAAGAACACGGGTGAAGACCCGTCATTCCTCCCTTGTATGAAAACATCACCCAAGCGAACCCTAAACCTAATCCTTAGCAGCCGCCACCACCTTATGACTCCCCAGCCGCCATCTCTTTCTTCTCCTTCGTTTGATTTCCCGATCAGATAAGCCGCCAAGCAGCCACCCCCGCCATTAAAGTGCCGCCACTAAAAACCTTGCTGTCGGAGACGTCGGGACAGTCGG